GGAAGGGAGAGAGATAGCTAGAAACTTCGATGAGAGAGAAACTGACCAGCTGCCTCTTGCACACCCCCTACCGGGGATGTGCCCGCAACCAACATACATGCCCTTGACTGGAATTGAACCCGGGACCTTTCAGTCCGCAGACGGACGCTCTACCACTGAGCCAAACCGGTTTTGGCCTTCTTAATATATTTTTTATTGATTTTAGAGAGAGGAAGAGGGAGATAAAACATCAATGATGAGAATCATTGATCAGTTACCTCCTGCACATCCTTATTCTCACGCCCCCCACCCCACCCCCACCCCCCCACCCCACCCCCGCCCCAGGGATTGAGCACGTGCCCTTGGCCAGAAGCAAATCTGGGACCCTTCAGTCTATCCACTGAGACAAACCAGCTAGGCCTTTCTCCCTTTCTGTATTTTTAATTTCCTACTCCAATGTGGGAAACTGGGCTGCCATTTTCCCTAATACATTTATCCACGATTAATCCCTGTCACCACTGCCTTCTGCGTTCGCATGTCCTTCTCACTCTTGTCTCCAATACTCTACACTGGGTTGCTTCCACCTGCCTCCTCAGTAAATACTCTCCTCACCCTAAACTTGCCTAACACCCTGTCCTGGGTTCTTCCCCTCTTCAAAACATCCTCCTTGCCCGGGCTAAAGTGGCTCAGTTGGTCAGCTGGTTGGGTGTCATCCTGTGCTTGAGAGGCCCCTAGTTTGATTCCGTTAGGGCTCATGCCTGGGTTTCAGGCTTGACCCCCAGTAGGGGGCATGAAGGAGGCAGCCACCAATGTTTCTTTCCCTCTCCCTTACCCTCTCTCTCTAAAATAAAAACTTAAAAAAAAAAGACATGGAGCCGAGACCGGTTTGGCTCAATGGATAGAGCGTCGGCTTGGGGACTGAAGGGTCCCGGGTTCGATTCCGGTCAAGGGCATGTACCTTGGTTGCGGGCATATCCCCAGTAGGGGGTGTGCAAGAGGCAGCTGATCGATGACTCTCTCTCATCGATGTTTCTAACTATCTCTCTCCATTCCTCTCTGTACAAAATCAATAAAATATATTTTAAAATTAAAAAAAAAAAGACATGGAACAGACTGATGAATTTTAGAGGGAGGGTGGGGTTTGTTGGGGAGATAATAACCGGGGAACTTGTACGCATATGTGCATAGCCGATGGACACAGACAATAGTCTGGTGAAGGCCTGGGAGCCGCTAGTGTGGGGTGGAGGGAGTCAGTGGGGAACAAAACAAAGGGGACATCTGTAATACTATCAACAATAAAGATGAGTTAAAAAATAATCTCACCCTGCTTGGGCTTTGATTTCCCACCCAAGCGCAGGCCATTCCCATGCATGAATGCTCTCACCTCACTCAGGTTCTGACCCCTCATACCGGACCACCTTCCTATGCAGGTGCCCCCCCTGCCTTGTTAGGTTCTGACATTCTGCTTGAACATTGCCCATCTTGAACAATTAGGTTCAAAACACTTGCCTGAAAGGAAGGTAACATGACCCTGAGTATGCCCATGGGCAAGAGTGACATGAGAATGCCATCCAGTGTATGAATAAATATGGAACAAAGTTGAGAACAGCGATCTGGTGAGATGTGATAAGTCTGTTGACCCAGATACCTCTGTTCTTGCCCCATCTCTGCATGCACAGAGGTATCTGAATCTAAGTACTAAGACACTTACATCTTTCTGCCTCAAGCTCCAGTTCTGTAAAATGGGGATAACTCATCAGGATCCACTTAATGCACATGTGTCAAACACAAGGCCCACGGGCCAAATCCGTCCCGCCAGGCCTTGCAATGTGGCCCGCACCGCGCTGTCATCACTGCACTCCGCTGCATTTCCATCACAATGACAGTTTATGACTGTTCAGTAAACCATTCGGCCCGCGATTTAGGCTGGATTTTAGATTTTGGCCCCTTCTCTGATTGAGTTCGACACCCCTAACTTAATGGATTACGGAGAAGATAATGCTTTAGTGAAAGCATTCCTCAGTGTTAAAAATGCTGTAGCATGGGTTCACAAATATTTAATTTAGGGTTTCAAAGGCTTCTCTATATACAGTAAAGCAGAAATCACTTCCAAACCATCCATTTACTTAACATAAAGAAAACAGAAACCTAGAATTACCAACAGGACATGACCTATATATATTATTAGAATGGGCTTAAATTGCATGATTTCTGCTTTACCCCATGCAACTCAGCAGGTGCCAGGCAGTCTCACGCAAGCTTGCTTTCTGATGCCTGGCTCAGCAGATGAGGGCCGAGTGGCCCTCCTGGGGCAGTCGTCTTGATGATGGCCTGGAGTGTTTGCACATGTGCTCGTCTGTGTGTCTCCAGAGGAGGCCCCAGGCTGCCGCTCCCTCACTCCATCCATGAAAATGACACCCTTTGGGTCCACAGCTCTTTAGTTCACAAAAATTTTTGTTCAGCTTACACGGGGCTTTGTCTCATTTAATCCTTCCAACTACTCAAAGAAGCAGGCAAGACAAATTGAGTTATACCCATCTTATGGATAATTTCCTCAGGAGAGGTTGATTTGCCCAAGATGCTATTAGTGGTAGAGCTGTGCTAATCCCAGTGTATGACTTGGCCACTATTTCCACGTGTTTTTTGTTATTAATTTAACAAACAACTTCACTGAACACCCGGCATGTCAGCCAATGCCAGGTACTCCTACTCATCAGTTTGCTCTTCTGAGTGAGAGTTTATTCAAAGCCCCTGCCTCCTACACCTCCCCATGCAGTTGATGAGTGTTAAGTGATGCAATGAACAAAACCATTGAGCAAGTCACAGGAGCTGAGCGGTAGTACAGTATGACAGTTCTACCTAGAACTAGACTGGCCTGAATCCCAGTCCTGCCATCCACTATGTCAACTTCCTGTTTCCTCAACTGTAAAATGGTAGTAATAGGTCTGTGAAGATTGACTTAGTGGGGGTAAAAGACTTACAAAAGGACCTATAACACAATAAGAACTCAATAAATATTCTGTAATTATTCCTTAGCATTGTCTTAAAAGGAAACAAGGCAAGGTTTAAAAACAAAAGGGTTCCCTTTAAATCTGTTCCTTAGGCCCCTAAGCTTCAAAGACTTTGGCCCAGAAAAGAGTCCTTCCTTGTTTGGGCAGAGCAGACAGCTCTTTGCTGAATTTACACACCACCCTCCCTAGCCTTGTCTCCACCTGCACCGTGCTGGCCCCATGCCCTTAGGACTGGATTTTGGTTATGACCTTCTGGCTGTTTTCTTGGGTATTCCCTCTTCTCTCTTCCAATCATTCTCTACTTTTCTTCAAACAATTTTCTCCAATACTCATTCCTCAATCACTTTTATTGAGCACATGTCTGTAGCCTAGGCACTGTAGTAGGAGCTGAGATGAGCTGCCTGAACCTCCTTTCAGGAATGAAGTACTTGCTGCCCTAGCTGTTAAGAGTGCTGATGGCAAAGTCCTTCGCTGTCAGTCCCTTTGGACTGCTGAAGAAAACTTCCTTTCTCAACTTCACATCTTCTTGTAGCAGCCAGCATTCAAAGACTGGTCAACTCAGCAGATAAAGGCCTGCCTGAGTCATTGTCTCAACTCAGGACAACTCTGCAGGGCTATCCAGCTCTAGAATGTGGGGCCTTCAATGCTGCTCAGCTTCTCGGACTGCTCAATCCTGGTGCTGGTCCCAGCAGCAAACCCAAATAAACATCCTGCATGATTTCTTCACACTGCTTCCCAGGAAACCCAACCTGTGGCAGGCACATAAGACACAAGGACGAGCAAGCCATGGTCTGGCCTTCTAGGCTAACAAGGCAAAGGGGGATTTACAACTTTAACAATGGCAAGTAGCTTATAACGGGGGAAGCACAAAATGCAATGAAGCCCACTTGGAGGAGGCAAGGTTGAAGGGAGTACACGCTCCAGGTTCAGGGACCCCGAGAGGCACTCCAGCCAGGTTGTGAACCCGGCCTGCCAGCCTGCTGGGATTTCCCCAGGTTCCATCATCCAGTCTGCATGTTCAGGCTGGTGCAGACCCATAAACTGATGATGCTAGAGATGTTTCTTATACCTGTGGATGGGCCAGACCCAGGCTTACTGAGTGGCTTTTACTAGAATTTTACATTCTAAAATGACAAATTAACCTGGGGCATAGTCAGCAAGGGTACATGGCACCTTTTCCCCTATTTCTAAATTCTAAAATTTGCCTGGAAAACAGTGAAATCTTAGCTTGACGTTAGCAGGGCAGCTCCAACCTCAGCAGTTGGAAAAACCAGTTTCCCAATGGTTGGGTTAAATGGGCTCTCCAGTCAGTGTGAAAGGAGTGGCTACTGTGATGGGCCGTCTGTGGTGACCAGGGGGCTTTCCACTTATACATGTCAAATTTCTCTGCCCTGTGCTTCCTGGAATGGAGTTGACATTGTCTATATTTTCCCTGAAGACAACTATCTTCTGCCAGCTCCCCTCTTCTCATCTCCAGAAGTTCACCATACCCCGAATGTAGTCGTTCTCATCTGCTACAATTCATTCACCCCAATTTTCTGAAGGCCTGATATATAGGCCTGTATTGTCATATACAGGCTCTTCCTGTTTTGTTCCTGAGTCATGACATTGGAAACCAACCTGAAAGAGCCCTTCTTGAGAGCCTGGCAGGGCTGAACAGTCCCAGAGACTGGAAACTTAACTCTCAGGAGGCAGCCTGAGCTATTAAAATTTTCCCTTCCTTTGAACCCAAACTTGTCTACCTCTGGAATCACTCAGAAAATTTGCTTTTCCCACAATAGTCCTTCAAATCAGACTGGCCACACTTTGTGAATCATATGCATAATGTGCTTGTCTGCTAATCCTCAATACAATCCTATCAAGAAACCAGGAAGAGGTATTCAAAAAGGTCAAGTGATTTCTTACACGCCTAGTATTTCTTAGTCTGGTGACTCCTATCACCAGTAATGGCACTGGGACTTGATCTTAGACCCAACTCCAATGTTCTTTGTACAAAGTCACCCACCTTCAAAAGAAGCAGATTCTGTCACAGAACCCTTCAGCTGTACTCCCGCTAACTCTAAGGACTTAGGGAACTCATGTCGGGATTCACAAACTAGTGTGAGGTGAAGGAGCTGAGCCTGGCAAACAGGTAGGCACAAATCCCATACCAGATGGCCCCTGACTGGCCCATCTGCAGGTCTGAGGTTGGCAGAAGCAATGGGGGCTGTGAGAAGCTCTTAGGAGCATGAGGGTTCACAAAGCCTCATAGTTAAAAGAATCTCTCCTGGGGACTTCTGAAAGGGAGTAAGAGAGGCTGAGGAGGCAGGCCTATTAGTGGCTCTTCTGCTGTTTTCATTCATCCATCACTGCCTGTTCTATGGTAAATCAGCAGAGACTTCCTGTCTTTCTTCTCATTTACTCCAAAAACAGGTTTCTCCCTCCCAGCTACCTGCACCATAATCTCACCAGCTGAGTTAACATCCCTTGGTTGAACTTTGTGACTATAATTCTCCACGATGCCAGCAAGTTCCTTCTGTTGACTGGTTTCCTTCATCACCACGGAGAGCAACACAATGTCTGTATGTTAGTGTCTTCTATATAGCAATTACATAGAGCAGCTGAGCCCTCGAGAAACAATATTTATAAATCATATTACCCTGTTAAAAATCCCACCCCACACTTAAGACTGCTTAATTTGAAAACAAAGTACTCTATTTCTTCCCATTAGACACCATTTTCAATTTCTTCCCAGACCCCTCTTTCTATACATGGTTAGAGGAAAAATAAAGAAACCACCCAAGCAAAACGGGGACAAAGACAGTTTCTCTTCAGACCCTTCTGAAGGTCCTGATCAAAGAAGCAAGGTGAGCCTGGGCCAGAGACCATGGGAGAAAGCAGATGACAAACCTTGTCTAAAGCTGCAGGATTACAGAATCAGTTCACTCTCTTAAGCCGTGAGGCTGAGGCCACACTACAGGGACCAGCACCACAGTGATGTAACACAACTGCCCTTCATCCAAACAGCCCAGCCCACCGCAAGCTCAGGCAGGTGATCTCTGAGCCCAGTGGCTTTAGATGTCTCCTTCCAGGGTCAAGGCTGGTGATGTTATAACGCCCTCCTTGTGATTGATACAAATGTCACAGGAGAATAATAAATCAGAGAGCCTACACCCCTTAACACATTGCAGCTCTGCCAGGGAACAGCAGAGATGAGGCAAGAAGATTTAATTTACACAGCAGCCACTTGGGGCCCAGTCAGAGCTGGGGCAGTGGGGGAAGCATAACCCCAGAGGGTACCCCCTACCCCTTCCACTTACAAGACCAGTCCTCACAGACCCTTAGATGGGGTTCCCTGGATTGTGCAGGAGAGATTTGGGATTAAGGCTGTCCCCAAAGTCAGGGGAGGTCCGTGGTCTGGAGATGGTTCCCTATATGGTAGCCCAGGGGTCTGAGGGACCAGTCCATGTCCTGGGCATAGCCCTCAGCTTGTTGGACCTAGAGAAAGCCCTCTCGGCGGAACTGTTCCTGGAGAAGGGCACGGTACTGGTCAAATCCCCCCTCAATCCGGGTGACGCCGCCTCCTTCGCACACCCACAACTCCTGGCACACCAGCCTGATGAAGCGCTCATCGTGGGATACCAGAATCACGCCACCCTGAAAGACAGGAGACCAGAGGCACTCAGGGGGTTGCAGGGCTCAGGAGTCCCAGGGCCTGGCCGGGAGTGGGCACTATGAAGACACACTCACCCTGAAATTGTTGAGAGCACGGCCAAGAGCCTCAATTGTCTCCATATCCAAGTGGTTTGTGGGTTCATCCAGAATGTAGAAGTTGGGGCTGAAAGGCAGAACCCAGAAAGGTGGATAGTTATGGGGAGCTGGAGAAATCATAAACTCTTCTGATATAAAGACAAAGAGAATCATTTTGTACTAGGCCAGAGGGAACAGGGAGGGCAAGAATTCTAGAAAGTAAGGCCTTACCAGGGCATAGTCATCTGAGCAAAGGCTACCCGGCTCTTCTGGCCCCCAGACAAGCTGGCAACAGGGCGCACAGCCAGTTCTCCAGAGATGCCATACCGGCCCAGCTGGTGGCGGTACTCCTCCTCAGGACGTCCTGGAAGAGGCACCATTCGATCATGGCCCAACTCCCTCCCTTCACTCTCTCCCCAGCCCCACCTTCAAATATCTCTGTCCCTATACCTAGACTTGGGTGAGCTGCTCAGCAGCTCCCCAAAGGAGGCCTAACTGTAGGCAATACCCTGAGCCTTTCTCCTGAACCCCAAGCCCTAACACACCAGGAAACTTGTGTGACAGCAGCTCCACAGCACTGACGTTCAGGTCCAGCTGGTCCACGTGGTGCTGGCTGAAGTAGCCAATCTTCAGATTCCTGCAGTCAGAAATGAAGGTGCAAGAGGGGATGAAAGGCAAGGACATAACGAGTGCAGCTGCAAGTGTAGGGGTAGTTCGAGAGTGAAGGCGTGGGCCCTACCGGTGAGCATGTCTGATGCCTCGAACAGGTGTTAGGTCCCCCATAAGCAGCTTCAGCATGGTAGACTTCCCAGCCCCATTCTCCCCAACCTATAAGAAGAAACATGAGAACTTTAGAGTGTACATGCATAGGACACAAAAGGAAAGGAAAGGAGAATTGGACTTGGGTAGTTCCAATGACTCTTTCAACTAAAATGTTTTTCAGAAACTGAAAAGAAAAATAAAGGGGGTAATAAATATGTAGAGACAGCCGAAACCGGTTGGCTCAGTAAATAGAGCTCATCGGCCTGCGGACTTAAAAGGTCCTGGGTTTGATTCCAGTAAAGGGCAGGTACCTTGGTTGCGAGCACATCCCCAGTAGGGTGTGTGCAAAAGGCAGCTGATAGATGACTCTCTCTTATCAATGTTTCTAAATCTTTATCCCTCCCCTTTCCTCTCTGTAAAAAATCAATAAAATATATTAAAAAAAATAAAAATAAATAAATATGTAGAGAACTTAATACTTGAGTACCTAGTAAGTGCTGGGGATTTAACTCTCCCAATAACTAAGTGAGGTAGACGCTATCTCCATTTTAAAGATGAGAAAATGGTTTAGTAACAAAGCTGGGAAATGGCAGAGTCGGGATCTGAATCTGACCCTGAAGCCTATACTTTCTCCTCTATGTTCCATGGTTTGAGAAAACTGAGAGCGGAGATGAGCAAAACAGAATACTGCTGCAAGTATTCATCAAGTACCACATGCTGTTCTTTTCACCTCTGCAGGGCAGACCTGTGAGGCTGGAACATGGCGACAGTATAAGTATAGCCCAGTCCTTGGCTCAGGCCTTGACTCCCATCCAGTGGATCTCTTCCCCCTGCAGCCCGAGGATCTGGGCCAACCCCCAGCATGTGCTGGGGTGGGAGAGTCCTAGCTCCTGCAACCGAGAAACAACAACCATACCACACAGATGCGGGATTCAAGATCAGCGGAGACGGAGAGACGGCTAAAGATGACGTGTTTAGGATCATAGTAGAAATCCACCTCATCTAGTTGCAGAATTGGTGGTGAGAACTTCTCAAACCCATCAGGGAACCTGTGGGAGGGAAGATGTGAATGAACAGTACTGCAGTGGCCAGAAACAAGAGCTTCCAACCAGCCCCTCTGGCCCAGCACTCACTTTATCACTACTTCCAACTCCTTGTCCACGGGTTTCAGTTCTGGCCTGAGGAAAGAGGGGCACTCTAGATTTATGACTTTTATTTGTCCCATCACATAAGAAATATATGCTCAGAGAAAACTTAGAAAAGCTTGTAGTCTCACCACCCAGATAACATTCTTATTTTCAAGTATAGTTTTGTACTACATAACAAGGTTAACAACAGACCGCATACATTAGGGTGGTTCCATAAGGTTATAATGAAGCAGAAAATTCCTATCACCCAGTGGCATCAGAGCCAAGTCATAATGTCATACCACAATGTCTGTAGTGATGATGGTAAAAATAAGCCCACTGCACTGCCAGCTGTATAAAATACAGCACATGTAATTATGTACAGCACATAATACTTGATAATGATAATAAATGACTATGCTACCTATTTATGTTCTTTTTGCTGTAAATATCCTGTGGCTACTATATCTCTCTCTTTTTAATACATATTTTTATTTATTTCATAGAAAGAGAGATCAATGATCAGAGAAAATCACTGTTCAGCTGCTTCCTGCATGCCCACTACTGGGGATCAAGCCCCCAATCCAGGCATATGCCCTTACCAGGAATTGAACAGTCCCTTCCTGGTTCATGGGCTGATGCTCAACCACTGAGCAACATCAGCTGGGCTTTTCTGTAACTTTTTTATGTTGAGTTACACAAATATTGTGTTACAAATGCCTACAGTATTCAGCATAACAACATGCCAAACAGACCTGTAGTCTGGGAGCGATGGGCTATAACATACTGCCTACGGTGTAGTAGGCTATACCATCTAGGTTTGTGCACTCTATAATGTTTGTACAATGACAAAATTGCCCAACAACACATCTCAGAATATATCCCTGCCATTAAGCAACACATGACTGTACATTCTTCTAGTTTACTAAATGCTGGAAAAATATAGAATTATTCTTTTTGTCCTTCTAGTTAACATGTCATGATGTATGTTTCAATGTCATAAAAATCCTAAGCTTTACGGTTTTAGGCTCTCCTACCACCAGCACTTCTAGTAAGATTATTTCAAGATTAGCAAAACAAAAACAAAACAAAATGATTTAACCTTCAATGTTCACCAACCTTAGTCATTAAGGCATGCAATCAAAACCACAATGAGCAAAAACCAAGATGGCAGCATAAGGTATACACCTGTATGTGCTGCCTCTCACAACCACACCAAATTTACAACTAAAAGACAAAATGTCTATCACCCAGAACCACAGGAAAGCTGGCTGAGTAGCAGTTCTATAACTAGAAGGAAAGAGAAAAGAGCACTGAGACTGGGTAGGACATGCACAGGTGTGGAAAAGCAGAGGTAAGGAGGCACGTGACTCATGCTGGCGACTGGGTGCACTGTTTTTTTTTTTTTCAATCAGAAGGGAGACACAAGCTCCCAACTGCTCTGAACTCCAGTTTCTGGCGAGACTCTGGGGACTCACACTCCTACAGGGAGAAGTGGGACTGTCTGTCATCAGGTGGGAAAGTGAGGGTGGCTCTCTTGCAGAAGTGTTTACTGAGCTGGGGCGTGGGATGCAGAAACTCGAAGATGTAGAGAGGGCTGACTGGCAGCCATCGCTGTTTGTCACGCCCTAGTGATTTCTTGGGACTCCGTCCAATTTACAATCCCACCCAAACTGTATGAAGTGGCTTTTGCATATGAATGGCCTGCCCTATCTAAGCTTAACCTAACAAACTGCAGCTGGGTCAGCTCCAAAACTTCCAAACCCCAAACAAAAAGTAGAAATCTGCAGATCTCACTGTAGCTCTTGCTGGTTGGCCTCAGACAGTAGCTGACCTGCACCTCCTTGGAGATCCAGGAGCCAGTGTACCTAGTGGTCAGTGTGAGACGACACCAGATTTCAACTCCTCACATCCATAAGTAACACACTCAAGAGGCAGATTCAATGAGCACCAAAGCTCCACTGAAGAAAGTCCTGCCCCATAAGGTATCTCCAGCACAGCAGTTCTTCCATTATAGACACAGTGGGTCTTCACAGCCAAATGGCCTGGAGGTCAATTCTTCCCAGTGTACCAACAGCAATCAAAGCTTAACTACAAGACTGTGCACTCAGCCCATAAAGGAGTGCACCAAGAGTGTCCATGTCAGGTGATTTGGGAGGCTGAACCACTGGGTCTCATACACAAAGCCACTCCATCAACACAGGGAAGCAGCCAAAATGCAGAGACAAAGAAACATGTCATGAATGAAAGAAATGGAGGAAAGCAAACTATTGGATAGAGTTCAAAACCATAGTTATAAGGTTACTCAAGAATCTTCTAGAAATCACTGAGGAACTTAGTGAGAACTTTAAGGATCTTAATGAGAATGCCAAAAAAGGAAAAGGATGGGTCAGAAATTAAGCATACATTGTCTGAAATAAAGAATATACAGAAACTCAACAGCAGACCAAAGGACCACAAGAATCAACCAAAGATTTGAAATATGAGGAAGCAAAAAACACCCAACCAGAAAAACAAAAAGAATAAAAAAATATGAAGATAGTGTAAGGAGCCTCTGGAACAACTTCAAGCATACCAACATCTGAATTATAGGGGTGCCAGAAGAATAGAGAGAGCAAGATACTGAAAACCTATTAGAAGAAATGACAGAAAAATTCCCTACCTGGTGAAAGAAATAGACTTACAAGTCCAGGAAGCGCAGAGAACCCCAAACAATAGGAATCCAAAGAGGACTACACCAAGACACATCATAATTAAAATGCCAAGGGCAAAAGACAAAGAGAGAATCTTGAAAGCAGCAAGAGAAAAACAGTTAGTTACTTACAAGAAGCACCCATTGTCAGCTGATTTCTCAACAGAAACTATGCAGGCCAGAAGGGAGTGGAAAGAAATATTCAAAGATGAACAGCAAGAACCTTCAATCAAGATTACTCTACCCAGCAAATTGAAGGTCAGATAAAGAGCTTCACAGATAAAAAACTAAAGGAGTTCATCACCACCAAACCAGGATTATATGAAATGCTGAAGGGTATTCTTTAAGAAGAGGGAGAAGAAGAAAAAGGAAAAGATAAAAATTTTGAACAACGAAGTGACAACAAATACATATCTATCAACAAGTGAATCTAAAAATTAAGTGAATAAAAAATCTGATGAACAGAATAAACTGGTGAATATAATAGAATCAGGGGCATAGAAAGGGTATGGACTGACAATTCTTGGGGGGAAGAGGGTGTGAGGGGTGTGGGAAGAGATTGGACAAAAATCTTACACCTATGGATGACGACAGTGGCGGGGGGGTAAGAGCATGGGGTGGTGGGGAATCAAGTGGAGGGGAGCTATGGGCTGGGGAGGGGAAGGAGGGGGGCAGAAGAACAATTGTAATAATCTGAACAATGAAGATTTATTTTAAAAAAATAAACCACAATGAGATAACATGCCACACCCACTAGGATAGCTAAAATTAAAGACAATAGCCAGCCAAGGTGGCTCAGTTGGTTGAGTGTGTGCACTGAAAGAAAAGGTTTGCCGTTGGTCCCAGGTCAGGGCACACACCTGGGCTGTGGGTTTGGGGCACATACAGAAGGCAACCCATTGATGTTTCTTTCTCTCTTGCCATTCCTCTCTAAACATGTCCTCATGTGAATAAAAAAATAAATAAAAAAAAAAGACAGCCTAGTGGGCATGACTCAGTGGTTCAGCTTTAGCCTATAAAGCAGAAGGTCATGGTTCGATTCTGGTCAGGGCACATGTCCAGTTGTGGGCTCAATCCACAGTGTGGGGCTTGCAGGAGGCAGCCGATAAATGATTTTCTCACATCAATGATGTTTCTATCTCTTTCTCCCTCTCCCTTCTTCTTTAAAATCAAGATTAAAAAAATATATATATATTTTTAAAAATATATATTTTATTGATTTTTTACAGAGGAAGAGAGAGGGATAGAGTTAGAAACATCGAAGAGAGAATCATTGATCAACTGCTTCTTGCACACCCCCTACTGGGGATATGCCCGCAACCAAGGTACATGTCCTTGACTGGAATCGAACCTGGGACCTTTCAGTCTGTAGGCCGATGCTCTATCCACTAGGCCAAACCGGTTTCGGCTATATATATATTTTTAAAGTTAAACATAGAATTACTATATAACCTAGCAATTCCACTCCTAGGTATGCATCCAAAAGAATAGAAAACATTTGTCCATATAACAACTAGTACATAAATGTTCATAGCAGCATTATTCATAAGGGCCAAAAGGAGAAAACATAAATGTCCATCAACTGATGACTCAATAAGCAAAATATCATATTATCCATACAATGGGATATTATCTGTCGTAAAAATGAAGTACTATGTGCTAGGACATAGATGACCCTCAAAAACATTATGCTAAGCCAAAGAAGCCAGACACAAGAGTCACATTGTATGATTCCATTTATATTAAATGTTAAGCATACACAAATATACACACAAAGAAAGCAGATTAGTGGTTACGAGGGCCAGGGGACAAGATTAACTCTTTGAGAACAGTATAAAACTTTACTTATAAGGGAGGAAATTCAAGTTGGTTTCTAGAAAAGGGGAGCCTATAATGAGAGGGCAAGGATGGTCTGCAAAAAGAGGCAAGAAATTAGGAGAACAGGAGCCAGGCCATGGGACATGTACTCACAGCTTCTCTAGCATCTTGAGTTTACTCTGTACTTGAGAGGCTCTGTTGGCGTTGTAGCGAAACCGGTCAATGAAAACCTGCGGGTGGATGAGTGCAGGCACAGGTCAGGCTCCCTTACTCCCTGCAACTCTAATACCCACGGGATGGGGCCCTCAGCCCTGCCGGCTCCGTCACCTGGATATGCTGGCGATACTGCTGCTGTGCCTCATATTCACGCTGCTGGTTGAGTAGTCGCTCCTGTTTGGTTTTGATAAAGGTCTCAAAGTCTCCCCGGTAACCATCTAGCCGCTGGCTGTGCAGGTGGATGATGTCTGTGGCTATGGCATTCAGGAAGTTTCGATCGTGGGAGACAACCAGAATTGTGGAGGGCCACGTCTGAGGGGTCACAGGACAGCAGGCCCAGTTTGGGAGGGCAGTCAGCTCCCCAGCCTCTAGGTGTTCTGCAGACTTCCCCCAAACTTACTCCAGCACTGATAGGCACTCACCTGCAGGTAATTCTCCAGCCACAGTATGGCCCTTATATCCAGCATGTTGGTGGGTTCTGGAAAAGTGCACACATTTGGGATTGAAGGGCTGGAGGTGTAAGGAACTTGAGTGTTGCCACCTTTCCCCACCTGAAGTTGGAGTGTCACATTTCAAACTTACCATCTAACAGCAGAAGATCTGGCCTATGGACAAGAATGCAAGGCTTGAGGTTTTAGGTCAGAGATCCATTGCAAACCCCTAAGTGCCAAGGCCCATCCTCCGTAATATCCATACACAGGCCCAGAAGACTCACCTAGCAAACAGGGCCCGGGCCAGAGCCAGTCTCATCCTCCAGCCACCTGAGAACTCCCTGAAGAAAGACAGAGCCGCGTGAGAGGCGGGTGCTCACCAGCACGGGGCAAGAGCCAAGGGTAACCACAGTCAAGAATGGCAAGGGCCACTCACCGGGTGGGCTGCCGCTGCATGTCAGGGGTAAAGCCAAGTCCAGCAAGAATGACTGATGCCCTAGAAGTGAAGAGCCCAGTTGGAACAGGTAACCGAAGGGAAAGGTGAAATGGGAAGAAAGGGGGAATTTCAAATACCTGGCAGGTGCCTTGTCAGCCTCAATCTCCTCCAATTTGGCATAGATTTCTGCCAGCTGTGCAGCTTCTGAGCCCTCAGCCCTGGGATGGAAATGGGGGGCAGAGCAATCAGCCTGAGTAGAGACAGTTCGAGAGGATATCCCGTACCCCATGCTATTGGAAAGCAGACCACTGGCTGGCTGCCTTTTTGCTGGGACAAGAACAGAGTACAGGAAGGACTTGCTCGCAGTATTGAGGGCCTTGGGCACAATGGAAGGAACAAGGGCTTGGGAGTGCTGGTTCTAAGCTCTCCTGCTCACTGGGATGGGCATGCCAATTTTGGACCATGACAGAATGGCGGGCACTCTGTGAAGGACAGCTGCTGCCGTCCTTCCCTAGCACGGAGCCTTCACCTGCCAGCAGCAACCTGGGCACCGAGCTCCCGCTCTCGCCGCAGGAGGTCTTCTCGCACAGTGTCACTCTCCAGCACACTCTGCAGGGCAGGGGTGTCATCTCCAGCAACCTCCTGCTCTACGTGCAGCAGGGAAATGTGGGAGGGAACTCGCAGGCTCCGGGTGGCCAGCATCTTCAACAGGGTAGTCTTCCCCAGCCCATTTCGGCCCACTAGCCCATAGCGGCGGCCCCACGCCAGGTTCACATCTGCACCAGCCAGCAGTACCCTGCGGGGCAGCAGGAAGAAGACAAAAGGGTGCTCTAGACATTGGTGTACTGCAACTTTAACAACAGAAACCTAACATTACTTTTAACCCCATTGAATCTCCCCAAATTCTCTTTAATTGGAAAAGAAAAGTATCACACCCCCCACCCCCCACTGCCACTCCCTCACCTGTCGCCAAAAGACACGTCAAAGTTCTCAATTCGCACATCGTAGGATTTGTTCTTGCCAGATGATTCCAACCGACTCTCCTTTCTGCTGCCTGCCTGGCTGGCTGATGCCTCTTCCAAGACTCTGTTAAAAGAATAAATGGATGGCTTTTGGCAACTCCCAGTAGAGACTGCTCTGTTCTCTTAACCCTTTTTGCTAAACTCACAGAGGATTGCTGGTCTTGAGTGTGTCCTTCTCTGAACGTTTCTCCTGCTTTGCCTTTAGCCGAGCCTCAGCCTTCTCCAGCTTCTTTGCATTCACTGTCTAAGGGTCCAAACAAAACCGTTTCACCCTAGGGTGTAGGCTCAGAGAGAGCACCTTAAATTAACCCTCCCAATTTATCCGCGATGAACAGAATTAAAGATTCAGAAATCCCCCAGGAAGATATTCCAGTATTTAGAAACAGTCAACTCCTCCCCAACCATACACAGCCCCTCCCTTTCATCCTCCTCCTCCTCCTCACCGAGGACTGTTCCCTCTTCAGCAGTCCTGGAAGGTTGGTGCCACAGTCTGTAGATGAGAAGAAAAGCAGTCACCTTCTCCCTGAGGGAAGGGAAACTAATATTTTGAGTAACTAATATAAACCAGACACAAAGCTGATAAGCAACTCCAACAAGAGCATGCAGTTGGTTAGTAAGTCACAAAGCAGGGGGTGGGGAGTGGGTGAACCCAAGTTTGTCCAGCTCCAAAGCCCATATGCTTCATACCATTGCCAAGAGCTTGGGGAGAACCCTCCAACCCTACTCCCTTCATCAATGGGCTCTTTTGCCTTCAGTAAAGACATCAACTAGCTTCTACAATCTTGTCCTATGGAAAAGAGGTGCCAGGAGTTCTGAGCTCCAGGAGGCAGGTGGCTGGGGCCTTGAGGCTGAGGAAAAGGAGAGGGTAGCTAGTTCAATATTCCCTCCTTTCTCACCGTAGTTCTCCGTCATCTTTGACAACTGGATGGGGGCGTCCAGCAGCACCTGGCTGTTTCCCTGGCTCTGTGGCTCGGCCCTACACGGCAGGGACGGCAAGCGCAGAGTTAGGGGTTGAGGAGAAAGCTCTTTGGCCATCAGACCTTATTCCCTCCTGCCCCCCGACCGTCCCCTTCCCATCTCCCCACAAGCCCCCCGGCCACGTACAGGCGTAGGGTGTTGTACATGCGCTGACACACGGCTCTGATGCCCGCGTCATCCTTGCTGTCCCCGGACACCTCTTGCAACAGTTCCCCCACAGCCTCCACCAGGTCGTCCACAGACTCGAAGTCCGCGCTGCCGCTGTGCAACACGCCTGGGCGGGGCGGGGCAGGTCGAGGCACACACGGGGTAAGGTGGACACACAAGGAGTTTAACCCCGGAACCGCGACCCGAGAGCCTGGCCTCCGGACCTGTCCCGCCCTCGGGACAAGAGGTCACGCAGAGGCCAGACCCAGCCGCGGCCCCGGCCCTGCCCTCCCTTAGCCTTTCCCACCCGACTTCCACTTTGGCCCCCCCAGCACGCTGATTCGGTTGGGCTCACCGGTTACGTAGTCGAAGACCTGTCCGTCAATTTCGGGAAACTCGCTCCGCAGGATTTCAGCGCAAGTCGCCATGTTACAGCCCGGCTCCCTTCCGCGCAGCCGCGGTGAGACCCCGGCCGAGGCCCACCCCTGCCCTTCCCCCCGAAAGCCCGTCCCTCCTCTCACGGCGCATGCGCAGTGGTGACCTAAGTAACGCGTGGATTGCGCGGAACCCGGTGGGCGGGGTCGAAAAGACGCGTGCGCGAGCACCGGTGTCTACGCCAGAGCTTTCTGCGCTTGCGCAATGCCTTTTCCGCTCGTGCGGCCTCGGGCCTTCTGGGAGGTGGCTTCCGGAAGGCGGAGAACTCGAATGCCAAAGGTTCGGCGGGTGGGGACCGCCGGAAGACCCGCGGTGGCTGAAGCGCTTCATATTGGACTTGCTAGTCTAAACGCCTGAGCCAGGCTGACTCACGCTGGTTCCTGAGCTTTCAGACTCTGCTCTCTTAATCCTTTTTGCTAAATTCTCAGAGGAGTTCTGTGCAGGCGCGGTTACTATGTTTCCCAACCTCGGCCTGGAAGTTCGCCTGCTCTGCTCGCGTCTGGCAGCGCAATACAAGTTATGCCTATCCCACCACCCCAGGGCACAGCCTCACTCTGCCAAGGGGCAAGGAAACCAGGTGGAGAAAACCAGATGGACAACACGGCCTGTGTAAATTCATTGGTATGTGTTCTCTAAGTCTACCTAAACCCAAAGCAGACTTCTCTGCAGCCTGAATGTACTTCCTTTCCCGGATTCTCTCAGAAATTAATGATGCTACTGCGTTACATTTACTGTAAAATTTAAAGTGAATACTCTTCCAACCCTGCTGTAAAATTGTCACCTAAAATTACATTATTAATTCATCCTTGTGAGGAATCAGTCAATCCTGATATTTAAAATAAAGCTATAGAAGCTATTAAGCTTCTAAATCTAATAACCACTTTATAGGAAACATTGGGAAATAGAAATTCTGAGGGGGAAACTATGTACTGTACAGAAATAGCTGGTTTCTTCAACATTGCAAGAGCCGAGGAGAACCTGTGGTTTATAAAATTTAAGAAGCATTCCCCTACTATAATGGACCTTGTTTGGATCCAGATGCAAACTAAAAATTTGCCGAAGCCCGTTTGGCTCTGGTAGAGCGTGGGTCTGCGGACTGAAAGGTCCCAGGTTCGATTCCGGTCAAGGGCATGTACCGTGGTTGCAGGCACATCCCCAGGAGGGGGTGTGCAAGAAGCAGCTGGTCCATGTTTCTCTCTTGTAGACGTTTCTACAATAGCTTTCTATCTCTCTCCCTTCCTCTCTGTAAAATATCAATAAAATATATTTTAAAAATTTTTTATAGGACACTTGAATTAAGTATGAACACAGATTGGACATGACATCAGTGAATGGGCCATGAGTTGATAATTGTTGAAATTGGATGATGGGACATGAGCGTTCATTATATTTTGCTACTTGTTTTTTTGAAACTTTCTAGATTTTTTAGGTTAAAAAAGGCTGAAACCAAGCAAGAAAAACTGGTGGAAGGCGAATCTGCTCCTTTATCTGCCTAAAGCTAGGAGTAAATTAGAGAAAGAATCTCTACCCTTAGGGAACTGGGGCCGGGTGGGGCTGCTGGCCCTAGGAAACTGTTTTCTTTTCAGAGGAGTCAGGAGACCTGGGGTGAACACAAATTAGGATTAGGGACTGGGTGGCCTTGGAGGGGCCTAACAATTGAGACCAAGACAAGGGAAGAAGCCTTGAAAGGTCAAAACCGAAAATTGTACTCAAAGCAGTCAGTGTAAGACATGGGAAGAGCAGTCCCACCAGTCCCCATCCCCACTGCATCAACACAGCCAGCTCCTTCACTCTACAGTTTATTGGGTCTATAACTGGACAAAGTCACACGTGTACAAAATGAAGCTCACACTATCCCAAAGCAGAACAGGGATTGAGGGCTAGGGATCCATTCCTAGCTGTTGGGGGAGCTCTGAGGTGAAGGGCAACCAACCCTCCCACTTGAGAGTGTGGCCACAGGGGAGGGGAGGAGAAGCCCATCTGACTTTGGTCACAGAACTCATCGGGCCTGGCAATGGGCCAGGACAGACAGACGGATGGAGAAGCAGGAGCCCCGGAGACCACCTTGCCCAGGGAGCCCAGGGACAGCTCCACCAGTCCTACTTGCGATGTGGTTGGTCCAGACCTAGACTCAGGGGCTGGTGCAAAGGAAAGGCAGCAAAGCAGGAGGGATGAGACACTGATGTGTGGTGGCTGGGGCACTTGGACTTGTGGAAGAGGGTGGGTGGGTGGGGAGGCGGGCTAGCTGCCACTAGGCAGCTAGCAGCGTGTCTCATAAATGCCACTTCGGCCAATGTAGCGCACCCATTTGATGACATCATGGTCGCTGTAGTTCAGCTTCGGTTCAAACACCTTCAAGTAGCGCACCTTGAGGCCAGAGGGTGCGAATGGCACCTGGGCAAGGGGACAGCTCCAGTTAGGAAAGTGGCCTTCCAGTCACTCTCTCTCTTCTGGGAAGTTCTGTAGCTCCGCCCTACCTTTATCTCTTTACTACTGGTGACTGAATGATTAGTGTCCTGAAAGAAGTTGGGGTAGTGAGGGGGTCCTCCTAAAGGTTACTAAAGAATAAAGCATATCTAAGAGTTTAAAGTTAGGCCCTGCCTGTGATAACCTGAATAAATTCTTTTAATCTGCAGAAAGCAGCAACCAAAGACCTGACTTAGAACATCTCAATATTATGGACTTAAAAAATAAGGTGGAGAAAATTGTATGTCTAACATAATTTGCACAAAGCAAGGTCAGCTCATTTTTTTGTTTGTTAAGTAAACTTTGTGTCTTATTTGGCATTCCAGCAATCTAAAGCTTTCTAAAGAATTATTTTACAATAAGCCTAAAGAAGGTAAAGATTTTGGTTAGTGTGAATAGCAATTTCTAGTTGGAAGCCTGAAAGGGGAAGAAATGGATCTATGAATTAAAGTCACTTCCCTTCTCAAGGCCTCAGTTTGCTTATCGCAGGAAGTAGGTATAGAGGTTGACCTGAATGACTTCCAAGATCTTTCCCAGCATACCCTGCTATGGCTCCACGCCCCTCTCCCGCCATACCTCAAAGTTCATGGAAATGGGGGGTCGAGCCCACTTCTTCTTGTCATTGGTGGGCAGCAGCTCAATCTCTGCGCTGATCTGCGATTCCTTCATGCCTGCCATGCGCTTGATCCTAGGAACACAGGAGCAATGGGCAGCAAGTGCCACTGGAAGCTTGGAGAAATTTTGAAGGGGGTGGGGAGGAAAGAACCCAGCAGCTTGTGGGAGGTGCTAGGACAAGAAAATTGATTACCACTTGCTATGGAACCTTGGGTCTGCTATTTCTGCTGAGATAGATGGTCGTGCCATCCCTTACTGTTTACTTCACAGACATAAGAAAATGTTAAAGCATCCTGATAAATAAATGTAGGCATGCACCCAAGTGCAAACAGGTGGCACACTCACATAGGTATAGGTTGAGAGCAAACAGAAGCTCCTGGAGAAGCAAATAGGCAGTCCAACTCCCTTCCCCCCCAAAAAACACATACACACTCAGAGGACGAACAGTAAAACTGAGTAAGAGGGTACACTGAGGCTTCTTAAGCCCTGTTGTGGCCTCATGAAGGAAAGACTCACTTCCACACGATGGCGTTCTCACTGGCCTTGTACTTGGCCTTCCCCTTCATGCAGATCACCTGCACCCCACTTGTGTTCAGTGGGGTTGGGATCCTCACCTAGAAGTAACACACCTGTCAGGAAGCTCTGTCAAGCCCTGACATCAGCTGCCTTCATTCCTGAAGACAAGTGCTTCTTCCTCCCCAAGTCCCTGTCCTCACCTCAATCTTCTGAGCCAGGAGTGAGGGCTTGAAGTTGGACTTGATGACCACCTTGACCTCAAGCTTGGTGCGCCCCACTTCCCGCACCAGTGGGATCACCCGGAAAGGAAGGATGATGTCCTTGGTGGTGCGGTACCTTTAGAAGTAGAGAGCAAGGTTGGCATAGCAGAGTCTGTCCTCTTCCCTCTCCCCACTTTTCGCCCTTGCCTCCTCACATCCTAGCGGCACCTCATGAGCTCAAACTCTCCATCTGGTGGGATGAAGCTGATGCTGCGTTCAGAGTCAAACTTGCTGAGTCGCACACACTGGTGGAAGGTGCAGTCATCGATGGCAATTGATTGCTTCCCGCTGCAAAAAGGGGCTCAGTGTCATCAGTACAGCAGTGTGGCAGGAGAGATTTAGGCTGGGAGGCTGCCCCACCCCACCCACAAAGGCTGTCAGAGCCGGGTGAGGTTCCCACTATACACTATCAAAAGCTATCAGGAATATTCCTGATAGCTTTTGATAGTGTAATACATTCAACAATAAAGATTAAAAAAAAAAAAAAAAGCTGTCAGAATACAGCTTTCTGACTTAAGGATCCCTGCCCCAGAATTAGGGGTCAGTGGAAGCTTTGCAAGCTCATCTCTTGAGAGCTCTGCTGCTTAGGACCTAGCGGTTTCAGGTACACTGGGCAGAGGCCAGCAGTATATACAGAAAAGCCTTGGTTCTGGGGACCATATAAAGGGGCTTACTCTCTGAGTAGGATGAGGGCAATCCCCTCTTCTCTCTTAAGCACAGATGTCAAGAGCAATTAGCCAAGTACATCCTTGGGAAGAGGGAGTTTGTATTACTGCAGAAATGATGTCCAGAAAGAATTTGTGATTTACCATGCCCCCTCTGCCCTCCAATTGCCACCCTTTCCCACCAGCTCCCCTGCCTCAGGCACCTCTTGCTTGTTTCATCAGCTGTGCCTTTGCCCTGCTTCTCAATTACAATCTTGTCATTCATCCCAAACTTGCACTCAGGCATGCCACTCAGGTAGCTCTTCATCACCACCCGCCCGGACACATGGGCGCTCAGCACCTGCCCTGGTGATGGACAGACAAATGGAAAAGCTGAGTCAGGACCAGGACCTTACCCCCGCCCCCCCGCAACCTTTATCATGAGGGGGCTCTCACCCTGCGGGGACATGAGCAGGTTCACACTTTCCAGCACATCCAGGAAGAGCTCGTTCCGGCGATACTTGATGCCCTCCCGCCGCCAGCCAATCTGCCCAGTCACCTGGCTGGTGATCTGGGATTGTTCCTCTTTTGTCTA